TAAATATATATCACAACATAAGTGTGGTCACTGTGAGAAAACCAGACCCCCACCTCCAGCACACATTACTTTTGGGTATACAGAAAAGTCAAGTATCACCCAATTGCTGGCTGTAGAAATATGGATTGACACAAAATTTTCTTCATGGCAAGAATACAGTTTTAAAAGTTCTGACCTGTTAACTCCAAATTGATTACACCATCAAAATCACCAATCATATTTACAAAATTGACTTTTTTACATTTTGTGTTTAGATTATTCTCAATATCTGATGCTGATTTGTTTTATAGGGTTCGCTTAGTATGTTAAAAACATGAGCTTCTTTACCTGCAATGTGTCCATCATTTATTTAAAGTGATAGTAAGGGGGCTATTCACAAAGGAGCCGAAGGATCCAGCCGTAGCTTCGGCTTATCCTTCGGCTCTCTTCGGCCACCGGAGCCCTTCAGTTCAGTTCAGTCGAACCGAAGGACTGCTGTATAGGCTATTCCAAATACTGAGCCGAAGTGACAGCCAAAGCGTGGGGCGGACGAGCTCTGCCCAGTTGTTATTCATTCGCCGGCACCTGCTAGAGGACTCTAGCAGGTGCCGGCCAATAGGAAACAGTTGGGACGGAGCTAGCTGTCACTGCTAGCTCCGCCCAATTTTTTTTTTTATACATTTTTTTTTTCTTTCTTTTAAAAAAAAAAATCTTTATTTTTAAATTTTACTATTTATTTACAGAGGTACCAAGCAGAATAGCCGGCGGCATTCGGCTATTCAATCACTGCCATTCAGCCCCTATGAGAATAGGGGCGAACGGCAGCGAGTGAGCTGCCGGAGCTTTGCCTCAGCCGACCCAGATGATCGATTGGCTGAGTCGAAGTCCTTCTGCACTTTGGCTCAGTCGAACATCCAGAGCATGTTCGGCTGACCGAAGTGCAACCGATGTACAGCTGTACAAGCCAGAAGTTAATAGTAGAACAGCGTTCGGCTCACTTCACTTCGGCTGGGTTATTCACTCGGCTGCCTTCGGCAGCTTTGTGAATAACCCCCTAAACCTTCTGGGTTGTTTCCTTTTTCTGTTTTTGGGGGTCAGACTTACTTTAAAACACTTTATTTTATTTCCTCGTTCCTGGTGTCCAAACCGCTAGCGCCCCCCATGTACTATAGACACACACAGCGTGCGGTTAGCCACACCCCCACTCTTGCAGTCACAGTTTGACTGACAGCAGAAGGAGCTGTATAGCTCCTCTGCCCTCAGTACCCTCCCCGGGGAACGCTGAGTATCTCCCTGGTCACGGCAGAGGATACAAGTAGCCACAGGTAATCAGAAGGGGGGTGTTGACGGGACTGGGGTTTTATAAAAAATACTGGGTGTTTTTCACCTTAATGCAGATAATGCACTACTTGAATTCTCCCAAGGGACTGAAAACGCTTAGATGGTGAGGCAGCCATCTTGGGTGTGCTCAGTTGAGCCAATGAACCTACCAGCATGTCTTTTTGGAGTGTAGGATGAAACCCAAGCAAGCACAGGGAGGAAATTAAAACTCCATGCAGATAATGTCCTGATTGGGATTCAAACCAAGGATCCCTCTAAGAGCCCGTTCCCAAAAGCAGTATGCGTTGTATCACACAATGCCGTATATAATAACACTGTTTCTTATTTTTCTTTTCTAAACTTTATGTGAAGTGTACAATGTGTACACTCCATTCAGGTTCCTGCACAGCAGCGCGGTGCAGTGACATGCAATGTGCTGCGATAAAAGCATGTCTGCATTTTATGGCAGTGCACCGCCCATCACACCCACGTTGTGATGTGAATGGGACACAAAGAAAACAATCGTGTAATGGTAGCCTGCGCTGATCCGATACAGTACAGGTGACCATGCTATGTGTGAGCGGGCCCTAAGCCCTGAGTTTATAGTTGCTATATGACAGAAGCAGGACATGCACACTGTCTATTTCCATTTACAACAGAAGGCTGCTTTAGGAAACTCAAACACCACATAACTGAATATATCACAATTACAACAAATTAGGATAAAAAGGGTCTCAAAGTCATTCCATGCCATTTTGCCTTTAAACACAAAAACGTACAAATAAAGACGGGTATTGGTTCCCATTCATCACACAATCAACTGTTGAACGCGTGCACTCTTGCTGCAGCATCTCGGCCATGGCTTCCAATACATATTTCTCCTTGTTTCCCGATCTTGCAGCGCTGTATACAGAATGACATAGTGATCTGATTGTTCAGGCTCCTGTCTAATTGTATTCCCAAACTCCACCTATGGAGAGGATGGGCTGGGGGCCACGGCTGCACTCACATCTGGAGCATCATTAAACCTTCACAAGTCATTCCACACCCAAATCAACTTTAAAACAATGGCTCTCCTTGATTTCATATGCAACATCAAAGCTGGTCTATAATGGCTATATACTAAATGTAGTATACATAGCACTGCATAGCTCTTTATGTGCTGAGTGGCACACCTTAATAATGAATGTGAATGTATTATAAATAAACACCTGCAGGGGAGAAGCACAGGGGAAGGGGGGGGG